ATACGCGTGTTATTATTATTTTTTTTTCTTTAATTGCATCATCTTTGTAGGCACATCTTTTAGAGCAGTAAAAATAATTCAATCTACAATATTGACGGTGATTTTGTGTTGAAAATTGGATTTAGTTCTTATAATGGTGAATCAAAAGTCAAAAGTAACTATAGTGACTACATACGAGTCAGTCGAAGGGTCGACTATTATAACTAGGGCTAGAGAATTGTGTGAAATTGTATGTTTTTTTAGGGCTTTTTAATTTATTGCTAAGTAAGATTGAAACTATTTCTATAATACTAGCAAAAAATATATTAAAAGTATAAAATACATATTTTTGCAAAACCAATTTCGTAATTTAGTAGTTTTAAGAGTATATTTCTTAGTTTTACTATTTTCAGAACATATTTGATGCACGATGATTTACTAATTAATGTACACCTAATGTAAATTTATTTTAATAGTTTTCACTAGGTAGGTATTATTGTATTAAAACTTACAAAAATCAGTGTGAAGAAAAAAAGGTGGGGACTTAGGGCGAGCATGTTTGGTACATCATCCTGTGTACAGTGTGATCCCGAACTTTGTAAGTAAATACCTACCTACTTAGCAGCGTAAGGCGTTTTTCAGCAGTAAATACTAAATATTATTTCATAGGGTAGAAATATCCTCCATTCTCAGTTCAAATTTTAATTGACCTTTATAAGACAAACTGTATTACGATGTTCTATAGGCAGTATCAACTACGTGACACCATATAAATTACGGTCGTTATGAAGAATTTATGAACCTACCCGAATTATATAAATTGATATGAATATTTTTAATAAGGCTATTTTTCGAGGAAAATTGTACAACCTTTACTAGACACATTTTTTTGTAATCTTTTTTTTCTACAGTTTATTAATTAAAATAATATCTACGTGTTTAAATCCATATAACTCCTTATTCGCGGTAATACGCAGTTAAACAGTTTTTTACTTTTCAGTAAAATCGATCGGTACTGAAGTATATTGATTGGGCTTACCTACATTGCGATTCACCAACCATGCTCCTTTGTTTTATTTAACAATAAATTTATTCAAGACATGATTTTTGGAATTTTAAAATTGTATAAAAATATTAGATTTACTCAGAGACAGTAATATTTTTTTTGTACCTGTAATGATGCAAACTACTGTTTTTTTTCAAATGAGAACTACGTTTTTGTTGAAGATTATGAAGGGGATATTTTTTTTTATAATACTGATGGCACCTGATTAAAAATTTGAACAAGCAGTTATTTTCAATTGCCTATTAAAATGTGTATTATAAGGATAGTGTCCTTAAAACGGGTCTTACAATAATATAAAATATCCGTAATAAATTGCAGGAACTAGTATTTATAATACTTAGACCATTTTTACAAATCATTTGTGTCGACAAATTAGTAATAATCATCAAAATTTTCCATTCATCATAGTCCCCATATCTCCCAAACCCATTATTATGGACTAATATCCTCATAAGTTATAGCTAATGCCTAATAGTTAAAGTATACAAAGTTTAACTTTAGCTAATCAATTATAAGCTATATTATAATATTTAAAGTACCTAGTAGTTTAGTACCATACCAGTTTACACAAAACTTAACATGATATTAGATCCGTCACAAACATAATTAAAAAATTAATTTACCAATTTTCCATTCCACATGGTCTTTCATATATCACCATCGTGTAGCTTTCTGTGTGCCTACCACAAGTGACAGTTCTTAAACTGGGATATGTAGTTTGAGAACCCCTAGTATATAAATACGCTAAAAGCTAAAATAAAGACATCTGTAGTACAAAAGAGTATGTGGAGTATGTACTTATTAACTTATGTATTGTTTAATTAATTTCTCAATAACATTTTCTTTGAGAAACACAAACAAATCTAGAAAAACTGATATTGAATAACTGCATTACCAGAAAAAAATGAGTGAGCTTGCTAAGTAAGTCATCCTGTATGTATATTGTGTATATTGTATACGGGTAACTATGATTTTTAAATACAACTGTTAGAGCTTGCAAATTAAACCATAAAACCATTCCTTTTCTATCTTACAATTTAACATTTTAATATTATAGATTTTCAAAATATAACAATTTATTGTTATACCGGCTGAAGCATTGATATTGCATAAAGTACATTTTAAAATGAAGATATTTTGTAGTACAAAAAATATGTATTTAGAATTGTAGATATTTTATTTATCGTTTAGTTATTTTCTCTCAAAGACAACTTTAACTAAGAAATACAAAAAAATGTCGATAATTTGAAATTAAAAATTCCAAAAAAACCTGATTTTGAAATACTGTGTTTTTACATAGAAAAGAGAGGTGAGCTTGCTTGGTGAATCAACTTGCATACTATATACTATACAGGTGTAAATACAGTGAGAGACACAGTGTGAGTGTGTGTTGGTTTATTCTTGGACATTTCCATTCCCACACTGTTCATTCGATACAAAACTAACAAAATAATATAATAATAATATTACACTGCTAGCACAAACAAATGCGAAGTCGATACAATTAGGTCGGCTGGAAATTAACGCGTATACATATTTTATTTCGTCCAGCTTATAATACAATATTACTATATTGTAGTATTATATTTAATATATTAAAGTATAATATGAAATATCAATGTTCGTTTGTAGATGACGTCATACTAGGTAGTAGCTGGTATTATAGTATTATATGACGATAATATTATTATCGTCTAGGTACTCTAGAGCAGGGATCACCAAAAGGCGGCCAGCGGGCCACATCCGGTCCGTGGATAAATTTTAACCGGCCCGCACGTACGGTACGTAATTTGCACCATCGCAGGTGGTAGTAAAAAATAAGAATTGTAACTTGCACAAAAATGCAATCTACATCTTTTGATAGCACAAGTTTCGATAGCATAAAATGTTAAACATCGAAGCATTGTGTGAAAACTGAAAAGCTAATCTATAAGCAGTTACCTATAGATACTATTATAGAGATGTTAAAATATAATGGTTTTTTATTGTATTATAATACGGTACCCAGGGCCCTTGCAAGCACGGGGGAGGGGGATTGTACCTGGAGTACAGGGGCCCGTTGAAATTGATTTGTAGTGTTTGAAAATTTAAAATTGTTATATGAATATTTATTTTATATAAATAATATTTTATTGGGCTTGAAAAAACTTTTAGTACAGGGGCCCAAAATTTGATGTGGTGAACCTGATGGCACTTATTATACCGTACTTATAGAACCTTTCAGTACCTAAAGTACCTTATATTATTATAAATCAAACTCAAGCTATAAAACTAATGTATATTATATTAGAACCAATTTAAAAATGGCTAAATTAAGTAAGAAAACATTTTAAAATCTACAATAATACAATAATTATCTTAAAGTAAATTAATATATAATCATTCTACCAATCCTGATATACCTAGTGCCTAGAAATGATTTTAATTAAAAATAATGTAGTTAAAATGCATTGTAAATTATATTCTTAAACAACAAACTAATTTTCTAATAATATTAAGATTACAAAATTAATTTAAATTAAACACAATTAAATTTTAAAAAAATCGAAAAATTGCAAAAAGGTGCATTTGAAATTCTTAGATTTTGATTATTACTTAGGTACTTAAACGCTTTTAAAATGTACTTGGTAATAAATCGGGACAGTAGGACAACAATTTTTAAATGCAACAACATCTACAGTGCCCTAATTATTATTAACAATTGTGGAGATGAAAATACAAACAACGAATATAATAACATAATAAAAATAACCCGGGAACTCACTCTATCATATAGTAGTTGTCGAGTGCACCTCGTCATTATAAATAGGTCACTCCTGCAGTACTACAGGATTTATTGGATTTGAATTCAACGACAAATCTCCGTATTCGATGAAAATATTTTTTTAAGCTGAGATATTTTAGATAGGTAATATCAGTAGAATAATTGTGTACCTATCTCATTATTTCTAGAAACTCGTTTTACTTATAGACTGCTATATATTATAATACGTGTCATGATTAAGACGACTTTAGGCATGTTAATATGTGTATAAAAAAAGAAAATGATCTCGCCTAGTTATTAAAAATACTACCCACTAGGTGACTAAAGTATTTCACTGCGGACTATAATTGGTCTCACACAGACAGTTCTTCTCAAGCTGTGAGCAGCAGTCTCTTATAGTTGTCCGTAAGATGTTACTGGGGGAGGTGTGTAATAATTGGATATATTTATTTTATTTTAACTATTATCTCAAGGCGTTAAGCGTTTATGAAAAAAAATCATAATTATTTTCGACTATCAAAATTAAATGATCGGTTATTTAATAATAATATTATTATTACATCAAGAAGTTTATTTTACTTTACAATCATATGCTTGGTATTAGCTTAGTGTTAGCAACTTTTTCTTCGGCTAAGACCATTTTTTTTTTAACTTAAGGTGGACCTTGACAATTTAACATTAAATTTAGGGGCTCCATGACAAAGCATGTTGAGAATCACTAGCCTGTAGTATACTGGTTACAACAAACATTGCCTCTAACGGTTTGACTCCTGCTGAATCCCTCCCCCCTCACAAAAAAAGGAAGAAATCAATATTTGAGTCGGTAACGAGGATCAATCTCTGGAGGCTGAAATCTTATATTATAATATTATTATATCATAATTCTCTATTAGCTATATAAAACAATTATTATAATTAACAAGAGACGAATACAACTACAACAAAGTGGTGTCTGCAGCAGACATCGCACTGGGAAGGTACCTATTATATATACCTAATACATCTACTGACCTATTATAGAACTAAACTTCGCCGCGAGTAACGGAGGTACGATAATTATAATAATATTTTACTACCTATATACCATAACTTTACTACCATAATAATATAATAATAATACTCGTAAATAATATTAGTATACCGTGAGCATCCGTTTCTAATTATAGTCTAAATAATAATATTAATACTCACTCAACACCGCGTTTCCAGGCACCAAATCACTGGCAAAGATTTTCGTTTCGCCGAATTTCGGTGGATACGAGCGAAAACTTTCAAGTTGCACGTACGTGCTGTTTTCCATTTCTTTGAGCTTAGCCTTCAACACGTAGCTCGTCTCAACGTTCTCTGCAACACGCGAAGAATCGATTGCGTTTAATTATAATATAATATACAGAGTGTAACATTAATACCCGACAAATGAATTAATAACTTTCGTTCCAATTTATATTTTTTCTGTATAAATTATCAACTCGTGCAGCCATACGGGTATTGTATAACATTTTTTTATTTTTTAATACTGTTAATACAAAAATACCACAATATAATATGGGGAAATGGCCAATTTGTAAATCTGTTTTTTAGAAAACGTTTGATTAAAAATACACCAAAGCGCCTAACCTAAGTCAAGTGGTTTATTTTTATGATTTTTTAAAATGTCAAATTTTGTGGAACTAAGACTCATTAATTTTAAAAGTAATAACTTTCGATAATTATTTTGGATTTTAATAATCACCTATTCCATTACCCCTCATAAAATGTTTAAAAGTGAATACTTTTTGAATTAAAAATGTTTTTTGGATAGACTTAACAAAAATAATAATGTTTCAAAAATGTTTACAAAATAACCTACAAGACCTAAATACATTTTTTTACCGTCATCATATACGAGTATATCAGACTTCGATTTTTTATTTTTAGTATTAAAAATAAAAATAAAAAATGTTATACTATAAGTGTAGTTTAATCATCTTTAAAGGATATAAACAAAAAACATTGAAATCCCAACATTATTTAAAACAAAAGTTATATAATTTGTCTGGTCTTCCCGTTACACTCAGTATATATTTTAAGGTTACAGCATTGAGGTGTGGACGACGTAGATAATAATGGTAATAATAATATGATATAAAACGTAAAATTATAATATAATATAATATTATAAATACGCCTCAGCTGATAATAATATAATTTTATGTATATAAATATATATGTGCGTGGAAAAGTTTTGACATTGTTTTACGCTGTTTGTAATACATATTGTATAGATATACACAACATATTAGAATATTGTATATTATATTATAGGTACCTACATGTTGAACACTTCTAAACTTTCTAGACCAAAACGCCCCGAAGGTTGTGTACTGTGCAGCGTATGTCAATATGATATATTATATATTTTATAATTATACTTAGGTAAATACATATATTACAGGTAGTTTATATGTATACTTATACGAAGTAGCATATTATTATTAATATTATCATAACGTTTAAGACCACGGTTTTATACAAAGTTTATTATATAGGTATAACAATATTATATATATATGTGTTTGACTTTACTGAATGTTATGTTGTATCGACCGTTGGCGTTTATGGGCATACGTCCCAGATATCCTTTGAACTGATATTGACCGGAGCTTAATAAGTTTTTGAAGTTCGAGGTGAATCCCACTTCCATCTGATTAGGGTTTTGAAGTTTTGATCTGTATAACATCATCACGTTATATTATTATTCCAACATGCATCGTTCAAATAATATTCATATTAATATACTATAGGTATAGCTGTAACGACCGGCGTTGTCAGTGATAGAATTTGTTTTTTTTTATAAACACATTTATAAAAATATATATATATATATAATATTAAATCATCTACTAATATTATGATGGAAATGTAACCAGCATTAACCACATAAATATTGTTAAAAATGCATAATATTATTTTTAAATTTAAGCAAATCGGTCCGCCGTTCTCGATTGAAGTGCAACTCAGCCACCTTGGTAGGCAATGTGCGAAAATTCGATCTGATGCATGCTTCTTTTAACCAGTGGCAATAACGGATGAACGGAAAAAAAATACAGATTTCTGCTAATTATTTCTCTTATAATCAACAGCAACCATTTATAAACAAAAATGTCTTCCATCGATCTCAAAATCCCTCTCTTAGGAACCCTCAGGGTTGAACATAAGGTCCAATTATTGTGAATCTAAATGCCATCCAGGTAACAACTCAAAGACACACAAAAAATTTCATCAAAATTGGTCAACTCGTTTAGGCAGGCAGGCATAAGAGACATACAGACAGACTTAATTTCATTTTTTTATGTATAAATGAATAATATTTATACCATAAGAAAAGTCTACAACTGAATTTGGTTGATAATATTATTATAGTAAAAACTCTGCAATTAAGTAAATACTTATCTATACTATTTAATATAATTACTAGAGCTCGGATTTATATGCAAATACATATTTATACTGTTATTAATTAATAATTTAATTTGGACAAGTGATAAATTATTTTCAAATGATTTGTAATAAAATTTCTCATGCCTAACCTAACATAATTGTGACGAATGAAAACTGTATTTATTATTTTTTTTTTACTTTTTTTTTTACTAATTTGTCCACTAGTATTGTTGTCCGAGAACCATAAAAAATAAGCCTTCAGCTGAGTATTTGACATCTCTGCCTTGGAATAAGCTTACAAATATTTGTAGTTTGCAGTTTACAATATTATAAAAACCTTTAATAGAACAATTTATAAATCAGCCTCAACCCATCTTTTGAAGACTGTAAGTTATCAAATGTGTCAAATGTTCAGGTTTTTTAAGTTAACTACGCAATTAATATTATATTATTATAATTTAAGGATTGAGTGTTAAGCATATATGTGTTACTGTAAATACAAGATATTCAGTACGGTATAGTGCAGAAAACTAACAATTAATATTTTTACTAAAATTCTTTTAATGAATCAAACATTATTTTTCGTAAATAGATTCTAAATCTACTGTTAAAATATGTACCTAAAGATTATATTTGTATACTCCATTATTGTGAAAAATGTATGGCAATATCGGAAACATAGTTTTGTTTGAAAATCTCTGGTGTATACTATGAAGTATAAACGGTGTTGGTAAAAAGGATATGAGTAAAAAAAAACACTTATTTAGGACACACAAACAAGTTTTGAAACCATTAAAATGAATTATTTTTATTTTACAGATACACAGGTAATTTAAATACCTATACAATTTAAGTACAATAAATTTACCCTAAGTGTTTTATTCATTATTACAGGGAAACTTCCATATAACGAAGTCAAATAGGCAGCAAAAAAAAATTCGCAATATTATGGAGGAATTCGTTAAATAGAATTACGTATTCTTTTCATCTTTTTTTTAAAATGTTATTGTATGTATTTATATACTTCTATGTTGTATATGTTATGTAAAAAATAACATAAAATATAATAATATTACAGTTTAATTTCGTTTTTGATTTTATAATTCAAAAGAAATAATAAGTGAGTTTGGTTTCCTTATTATTTTTATAAATTGTACTTTTTTCGTAAAAAGTTTCTATATATAATAATTAAATTTTAAGATACTGCAATAAAATTAATCAGTTTGCCTACCTTCGGTGTCTTAACTTTATCGGATTCATTGTTCATGTACAATTTTAGAACTATGTTAAAAAAATTTATAGTGACAACATTTACAAAAACCAGTTTTTATTGAATAATAATATTTCGTAATATAGAAACATCAAATTCGTTATTTAGAGATAAATTTACGTGTATTTAACAATGAAGGTCATGGCTCTCAAAAATAATTCGTTAAATAGAAAATTTCGTTAAATATGTTCATTGTATGGAAGTTTCACTGTATAATATTATAATATTATTATATTGGCTTATGCCCATATGCATGATTATTAACTAACCACTTTTATATGACCTGTGCTCTTTTTTACAATCCACAGAATAGGTAACAAGTACCAATGTGCAATACACATTATCTAATATAATGTTATCTAACTCAGTTGATATATCGTTTCTCATTTTCTGTCAAATTAATTATTTTTATAATTTGCATCTTCGATTATTTGACAGAATATATCATGGTACAATACAGAATATGTAGTAAACTGACATATTAATAGCAAGAAATAATATTGTTATTTATAAGTTGAATACCTTAAATCCGTGAAATGCCTTTAGGCTTTAACTTTTTATAAATGTTAAATAACTGTATTTCGAATATAATAAAATTACAAATAATACATAAAGCAGAGATTTTCAACCTTTTTTTAACACGGCACAATATGCTCTGCACAATATTTTCACGACACATGTCGTAGCACGGAACAACGTTTTCTTCATCAAAGAACATTTTTTTTAGGTCATTATAGAATTTTACAACACCACAGACAAAATTGTACTTTATTATGTATATATTAATTTATTTTTTATTGTATTCATATTTAATTAACTATAATAATTATTGTAAAAAATTCTTTCAAAAACTTGCGGCACACCTGCAGTGTCTGGTCAGTGTTGGTATTTTATTATAAAGCCACATATATTCTATAAGTCGATCAATAATTTTACTTTACAATATATAGAATGTAACAGAAAGATCTCACTGATAAAAAAATTATATTAGTTAAACGTATGACAAGAATTATGATCATTATATGGATAATAAATATTTCAAAAAAATACTTTTGTCAGAAAATTCCCAAAAAGAATATTTTGAAAAAAGTTATTATGTTTCAAATTAATTTATTCCAAAACAAAAAAACAGTAATATTTTAAAAAACTAGTTTTATTGACTTCAATAAATGTTTATACCATAAAAATGTGTCTAAAAATTGGCTGTTTTAAATTATTCTAAACAAAATTTAATCCAATTAAATTTTTTTGATTTTCAGTAAAAAAAATCCTATAACTACACTTGTAGCGCAAATGTCTATAAATTATTATTAAAATAAAAAAATAATATTTTAATGAATTTCAATTTAATTTATCAGGGTTTTCTGTTTCACCTTGTATAATACACACTGTTTCAATATTATATTATTGTAATTTATTATTTTTATTATTATTATTATTATTATTATTATTATTATTATTATTTAATGTATACACTGCAAAATGTGAGTCCTGATTATGTTTGACGGTAATTCCACATAGGTACTTATTATTTATATATTTTTCTCTACATTCTGAAAATTGTAAAAATATATTATCATATTTAATAATAGTATGTTATGTATTTTAATATATTTTTTTGAAAATTTGTTGGTTAAATTATGTTTAAAATACTTGTTTTATAATGTATTTGTAATCTATAAATATTAGAGTATTGTATTTTTACCAATTTGATTAACATTTTATACATCAGTTAATTATAGTGTAATTATTTAAATTTAAAATAGCCTTAGTAAATTATTTAAAAATGGAACTTTGATAATATATTATATAATTATAAAACTAGAGTGAAATTCAATACCCGATTTGGGTTGTGTGGAGCCTGCAGTGGCAGCTGAATGATACTCTGACCACAATTTATGAATTTCTGGTCAAAATAAAATATAAATAACATACTTTTATCTAAAAGTATCTAGAAATATCTTACCTGAGCGATACCAATTTAATTGTTGTCAAACCTTCAGTCATCATGTTCTTAACAGAGATTTTTCCACCAATCAGTCGGGCCGTGTGTTCAAAATGTAACGGAGTGTCCAAGTGCAATGGGTCAAATTCTCGCATGCCAAATTCGTCATTACCTGCAATCAATAATTAATAATAATATTATGTTCAATAAACCTAATTCGAATTATATCGACTTCTCGTAAAATAAAAATAATATGCTGAAAATCTGTAACGTTACATTCGCATACACCTTGCGAAAAAATAATACAAAAAGACAGTTGTTTTCTATTTTTTCATACTATACGTAAACGTAGGTAATGGAAAAATGAAAATGGAATTCTTCTGTCAATAGTAAAAAGTAATGAACAACTGTGTTTTTAAAAATGGATTCGAAGTGATGAAAATTCTTTGCCATTTCATTGTAGATAGATTTATAAGTTTATAGCAATAAAATTTCCTGCATAAGTCCTTAAATAGAGGAGCGGATCGCCTGCAATTGTGGTATTAAATTTTAAATCGATCTAATTACCAACCTATGATTAAGACCAGAGTTGGGGCTTAACTGCATTTATATGTTTCTAATAAAATGCTCAACAAATTGTAGAGGAAGCTTAAAATTTGTTTCAAGAATGGATGAAGAACTAAAATCAAAAATAAAATGTTTCTTTTTTTGCAAAAAAAGTTTAGATTTTAGTGCTATAATTGTTGTACTTTTTGAGATATTTTTTCATTTTTACCCGATTTTTAATCAAAATAGTAATATTTTATTAAATTACATATACATATACCAACTACTACTCGAAGGCACCGAGTACCGACGCGAATCGACGCAATCAGCGAAGTTTATAATTTCGAATTATTTGGTTATAATTACAAACTTTTCTTGTATCTACTGCAGATTTTGATGGACCGCCTTTTTTGTCATTTGCGACTGTAATTATCGTCTATAATGACTAATGAGTGTTGAAAATGTTGGATATACTGTATTAAAATTGGCGTAATTCCATTAAATGTTAGCTGGTGCGAAAATTGTATTGATCCAATAATCATAAGGACAAATTATTAGTCATATTTAAAGCCAATCGCATCGCTCGAGCGCAACACAGTTGAATATTATCTTAAAGTTCCGCTTAATTATGGGGTGTAAAATAAATGCTATAGAGTATATAGAGTATATAAAATGAAAGAATTACATGAAAAAAAAAATGTATAACGATTTAAATTTTATTAAATTTGGTTTAGTTGATTTATAGAGCAAAAAATATTTTATAAACAATTCGAAAATAATTAAAAGAATCGATAAATACTATTTTAAGGTATTATTATTTGCACTTAAGTATTGGAATACGTATTTGAAATACTTTTCAAAATAAGTATCCGTATCCGTATAGTTGCATATTTTTAATAAGTGTCTTTTACAAGTAAGTTAAATGGTCTGTAGGTTCATATACATTATAAATATTAAAGAAATACAATATATTTTATAGACAATTTTAATTTGTTGGTAAATTTAGACCATATGGTCAATGAATTATGACCGTGACAACGGCTATAGAGCTATTAAGGATAGGTAAGTAATAGCAAAGTTATCACGTAATGTTATTTTATTATTAATTTGTTATAATGGAAAAAAAAATCAACAAATCAAACAAATATTATTAAATTTGAATAGGATTATAGTTCAAATCTAATATATAATACCAAGGTGAGCAAGTGTGGAAAAAAATTCTGATGTAAAGTGTCTCCTACCGACAGACATTTTGAATTATTGAGGTAACCAAAATACATGTATTATCTTCTATTTATAGAGGTTTTCTCAAGGGACCAAGCGTTTAGTTCAATTTATGGAGTTTTTTGAATTATAAATGTTTGAATTATCGAGTGACGGACTGTAATAAATATTTATATATTTTTACTTTTTACATTATTATTATTATTATTGTTGTTTTTGTTATTATTTTTCCTGATAATTCACTTGAAATAAACTCAAGTTTTACTAATTTAATAACTATAAAAATTATTATTGGGTTTATCCAGTTTGTACAAATAAATAACGAATACAACCTATTAAATTCATAATTTATTAATTTGAATGAAGTGAGCTTTAATCACAATTACAAGCAACGTAAAAACAACAGAAATATATTTAAAATTAATAAGTTCAATACCTAATTTGGAAAAACCCCCTTCTAATATTTGTATTACCTTATCTGCTTATGTAACAAATTAAAAATTTCTTTGTTTTATTGAGTAAGGGCTATTCAACATCCGAAGTCATTAGCTCGGGTTATTTAGTAGGTTTATTACTGTGGGGAGGATAGTTGGTTAGAACACGTGTATATGTGGCGAGGATTTGTCACTGAAAATTCGGCTGTAGTCAATTTGTACCAAAATTTACCCAAAATATATACAACATGTGTAATTTGCACCATTTTTTTTAAAATGCGTTTATAATTTTCACCAAAATAAGGATAATATGTAATTTGCACCATCCTCAAGTAGTAAGAAATAGGAGTTGTAATTTGCATCAAAATTAAAATAGATTATTTTTTCAATAATATCTCGATAGTACCAACTTACAAGTTTGCGCGTATACACATATTGCTGTAAGTTTATATAAAACCGTATAATTATGAATATAAAAAAAGTTAGCCAATTAAAATAGTTATATGTAAAATACTAAAATTTAAAAAAAACAATATAAATTTCGATAAAGATGTCCATAATCCTAATATAACTTAAGCTTAGATTTGATTTGTTTTGGTTAATCGATTTTTTTTTGTATTTGTATGCAACTAATTCAATGAATGAAGTTCTTGAAATCAATTTATACTAGTCTAAAGCAGCTTGAATTTGTTTCGTCCGTTGGCATGTTTGAGAAATTATTCGCGGAGTTATATGTAAACTTGATAGTTTTATGTACTTATCTGCTTGAAAATCTGTTAGAACTTTAATGAAATTGAAAATTTGTGGGTGTGGATGATAGAACTCGTGAGTTTCATTTACTGTGAAAGGATTCACATGCATTCGTTGTAAGTGCCGACGACGATGATGCAACTGCCCAAATATACGGTGGAAATAATGAATTCTTGTCTATATAATTTTCAGTCAAATAGTCAGCAAACATTTGAAATTTATTATCGGGTGGTATTGTTGACATAAGGTCATCAACAAAAAATGAGCCCACTTCATTAGGATTTAAAAATATTAACCCAAAAATATTATTCAACCATTCAACTTCGGGGTTTTTATTCTTTTTATACCCTTTACACAGTCCTAAGTTTTGTATTTTTCTGTACCAAGACTGCGTTAAGTGAAAACGACATCAAATGATATTATTCCAAACTTCTCTTAATACAGTATGAATTAATTCTTCAAAATCGTATATAGCTGTTGTAGGTTTTAATATTAAACCAACATTTTGACATTTAATAGTACCAAAATATTTAAAAAATGTGTACAAGTGGAACATAATTATTATTAAAATATCTATGTAAAGTAAAAAGTTCAGTAAATAATTTCGGACAATAATCGAATGACCCATCAAGATAGATTGTTTCACTTTTACATAGGAAATCAATGTTTGTTTTGCAAGAAAATATAATTATATTTTTATCAGAATATTGTGTGATAAAATAAACGGTTCACCTCTATATGTGTTTTGATATCCATAGTTAACATCATTGTACGTACTTTATTCTTTGATACTGGACATTTTGGCAATATTTTCCTCTTTGTGTATATTATATTATGTATTACGTTTTAAATCAGAAATATTCTTAGTAGTGATAACATTGGAAACTATTGAATTTTGATCTACATTTCTTAACGTTTTGGCTGGTTTTTCATATTCTTGTGCTTTTATTTAACACAATTAGTTTAATTTATAAACGTTTAAGTTTTTCTCGTCGTGATTTATATGCATACTTTCATAGGTTAGGTGATGACAATCGTCATATTTTCACACGTAGTAAACAATTTTGCTGAACATTTTCCCTGTGTACAACGCCAACCAATTAAATTTGTAGTTTTTGTTTTATTTGCAAAATAAAAAGTATGGTTATTGTATTCTAAAATATCTTCCCCACGATTACTTTTAATTACCTTGACTTCCATATTTCAAGAAAAAATTTAAAAACTGCACTACAAAAATATTACGTATTACGTATTACGACGAGACGGCAAGACTAAATGTATAGCTTAGTATTTGATCAAAATAATAAACTGATATGCATTATAAATATAACGCGATTACGACCGATAATTGGACGTATAAGTGTATAACATCTAAATATTACCACTTACCAGATAAGGTGAAAAATCCCGAAAAATGATTATTGTCATTCGTGTACTTCTAACCTTGACGCAAACAAGGGTATCGAAGAATAATTGAACAAATAAATCATCATTTTGGTGAAAATTACAAATTATATTTTCGACTACCTGTGGGTGGTGCAAATTACATATCTTTAATTTGGTGCAAATTACGAACTCCCAAAAATTCAGGTGGTAACCCATCCAGTAACTAGTAACACCGGCTGATGCTTGACCTCAGAACAGTGACTTAGGCCAAACGCCGCTCCACACCAGGCCACAAATTATTAATTTATATTAAGAGTTTTCCTAATTTATTCTTTATGGTTCATGTAACATGTTAAATATAAGATTACAAGTCCTTTAATATTAATACCATGATGTATATTTATACAGGTAATCAGCGACAAAGCTATGCGTAGAGGGGCAGTTGGCCATGTCCCTCCCCATTGGCCGTATCAACGTATTTACATATTTTTTGTGTATTATATAATAAATTATTATTGTTAATTGTTGAGTATATTTTTTTATATTTTGGCTTTCACCCATCCCTATTTTAAAATCCTGGCTACGCCACTGAAGGTAATGTATATGTATAGACTATAACCTATTTAATACCTGTATATAATTAGTGAATATTTTACTGTAGAATTTAATATTGCCCATTAGTCATAGGTACCTATCATATTTGTTTTCTTTTTTATATACTCGTATATAGATTAACAACTTCATTTTAGATCTTTTTTCTCCAACCCAAATTTGCTTTTTAGACGAATTCTTTCATATTTATATTTAATTTTAAAATTTTGCATGAAAGCTA